ACTTTGGATGTGTTCCCTGTCCTCAGGAACTTGGCGAAACTCAGGAAGTCATTGCAGCCGCACGTGCCTTCACTGGTACCCAGGCCGGAAAACGTGTTCTCTCTGTTGTGCCAGAATTTCGAGAACGGGTTGTCGTGCATGGGACATGCTCTCCCCTCCATCCAGTTGCAGCACTTGCTCCTAAAAGTCGTAGCTGCAAACCTGCCCTTGCCAATGACGTGCAAGGTCATTTCCGGAGTGTTGCCAGTGCTGGCAGTCCCGCAACACAGCAAGGTTCTTCGCATCCATGTGTTCCAACGTAGGTTTTGTGGCACCTGGCATAGGTCCCGGGACCCCGTCCCCGCCTTCTCCTGTTCCCCTTAAGGTTTGCCAGGTGCCTAGTCCCGAGGTTCCCCCTTTCCCCCGTGCGGCCCACGAGGAAGAATCTCTTGAGCCTGACCCGAGGGAATCTAGTGCGTCTGATGTAGGTGCCCGGTTCCCCTTCCCGCCGCCTCCTCCTCCCTTAGGGGTTCATCAGGCGCTTAAGGTAGGAGCCGGGGTCAATGCAGCATCGCCAATGCCGGGACGCCTCCTCGATTTGCCTACACCGAACTCGGATGGGCCGCTCAATGCCCACAAGCTCCTCCACCAGTCCTCCAATCAGAGATTGTCTGCAGAAGAGGTACTTTCTGTGTTGTTGTTGGCGCCGGACACAAGGTCCAAGCGCAGCCGTGGAGGAGAAAGTGATGTGTCCTTCCAGTGGTTTTCCGGAGCCTTTGTTCATGGAGGTTGCTGTGGCCTCCGCGCTGCGTGTCATGCCTTGCCCTGGACCTCTACTCTCGCGTGCAGGTATGTGAGCCAGGAGCTGCCTGCCTTCACCTTTGCCTCCGTAGGGGTGTTCGGGGACATCTTGACTGAGCCCCATAAGGATAGCCGCAACGCTGAGGGGTCTCGCAATGCAGTTATCCCTCTTAGTGACTTTTCTGGAGGGGGAGTGTGGGTGTCGTGCCCTTCTGGGAGGACTGTCAAGGTGATTGATGGCCAGGAGGTCCCCGGGACTGTGCATGGATTTGAGCAGGGGCCTATCCTGTTCTCTCCGCGTGATCTCCATGCCACGGAACGCTGGGAGGGGAGTCGGACTGTGCTCGTAGCATGGACCCCTCGTGATCTGCACCGCCTTGACCCAAGTGATAGGGGGAGGTTGCTTGGTCTAGGTTTTAAATTGGCCTCTCCCACGCCGCCTGAACCTCTGCCTGACGTGACTTTCAGTCTTGAGTTTGGCATCAGGTGGAGCCCTGAAGAGTTCGTTGCGCAAGCTGCCAAGGTAGAACACCCGTGCCATCTCAAGCAGCTCGTGCCCCAAGAGTTAAGGGATGCCATCGATGCCAACCTTCGCCAAGGGGTAGCTGCCTTGTGTCAGGACCGGACGGACACTGTCAGAAAGTGGATTGCCTGGGCGAACGAGCTGACGTCCAAGGAGGAGGAGTTGAAACGGGGCATGTCGGAAAATCGCAGGTGTGTTCTTTCCAACAAGCGACTATTGCTGTTGAGACGTCTTCTAGAAGAGTCAGGGCATGAAGACCTGGGACTGTTCGACGACACGTGCAACGGTTTCTCTCTTGTGGGCAAGCTGCCCGAGTCGGGAGTCTTCCAGAAAAAGTTCCGGCCGGCTGAGCTGTCGGAGTCGGATCTCAGGCAGAGTGCTAAGCGGTCTCGTGAAGCCATCATCGGAACGCTGGGGCCTTCTCCGGACCCCGTCATAGATGAGGGTGTTTTGGCGGCAACACAAAAAGAAGTGCAGGCTGGCCATGTGCGTGGCCCCATCTCGATGGGGGATGTGCCCCCAGATGGAACCGTCACTAGGCGCTTTGGGGTACGGCAGGGCGAAACGGATGCCGGCCCCAAGGTGCGACCCATCGATGATTACAGGGAGTCCCTGGTGAATGCTGCTGTCGCTCAAACTGAGCAAGTCCCAGTTCATAGCCTCGATGTCGTGGCAGCCACCGGTTCGTATTGGTTGCAGGCTGAGCACGTGAAGTGTGGGGGCAGCGACCTTCATGTAAAATGTTGGGACCTTCACGCCGCATACAAGCAACTCCCTCTTGATGATCCTTCGTTTGCCAGGGATGCCTTCTTTGGGATATACAACCCACGCTCACAGCAGAAAGAGCTGTACAGACAGCTGGTCCTTCCGTTTGGATCCAAAGCGAGCGTGACTGCTTTCATAAGGGCGGCCTTCGCCTTATGGAGGATCGCCATGCTTTTGCTGAAGGTGGTCTGGACCTTTTATTTTGATGACTTTTTGAATGTGTGCCGTGCCGAGGAGTCAAGGCACATGGAGATTGTCATCAGTATGTACTTCCATCTATTGGGTTGGCGCCTTTCCACGGACAAACTTGTGCCATACAGCAGCTGTTGTAAGGTTTTAGGGATAGTCCTGGATTTAGGTCAGGCCCAGCGGGGGTTACTGTTGATGCGCAACACACAAAGCCG